AAAATCATTAATGAATATAGAAAGGGAACAGGCAGATGAGAGTACAGTAACACTTTGAATATCAGATTAGCAGCAGAAAGCTGCTGCCTGCTCATCACTGCTGGATCCTCACGAGGCTCCGAGGCCAAGAGCAGGGGATGCTCAGGGTGAGGCCCATGTGGATTAAGGAATCAGGAACAGACCTTTAATGCCCAAGGCCAGGCAGGAGATCTGAGCTGCCACCGTGGCCAGAAGGGCCCCGGGCTGCAGTCAGCTCTTGACACGCTCAGGGTCAGCCAGCACAGCCTCCTCCAGCCCAGGGCTCCCCAGAGCAGCCCCTTCCCCACTCCTGCTGAGGTAAAGCCACACCCAAGGAACACTGAGTGAGGACTCCAGGGAGGTGCATGTGCTCTCCCAGGCACGCTCAGGCCTAGCACGTGTTCAGGACAAGAGCTTCTGTCCTACTCCTCCTCCCTCCTGACCTACTGCCTGATCAAATTTCTCCTCCTAAATGCTAAATCAAGTCCTCCCTCTCAAGTGTACCATACAACAAACAGGGAAGTAGGAACATAAAAGGAGGATCAGAATTACCTACACTGTGCCTACAAAGCAATATCTGAAAGCATGAACAAAGACTTCTACAGGCCAGTTTTACACAAATTAACAGCCTCTGCAGTAGCAGAGGAGAGAATCCTGAAATTAAATTAAGACACAGGAACAGCCATATCTGACAGTAGCATCAGGTGACAATGTGGGCGATTCTATAAAGAGATCCCTGGAGTAATGAAAGTAAGAGTTAATTAACACTCGCTTCCTGCATAAGAAAACCACACCCTGATTAGAGGAGCTAAGTGGGTACAATTAGCTGGCTGCGGGAAATGAGGCTTCTCCATGGCAAGTCCCCTGAGCTCAGTGTGTGCAAACACTTCTGTACTCTGAACATTGGGATCCCAGCATGGCACTTGAGATACCTGAGTCCAAAAATGCAGTCTCAGCTCTGCACTGGGAAGGCAAATCACTCAAGGAGCTGAGTCAGCACCAATTACTTGTGTTTAAAGGGCATTCAAATCTAGAAGTGTGTCCTGCCTGAAGGAATGAGGTGACAAAGCCACAAAGAGTGTGCTTAAAGAAATCAGGGAGATATTCCAGTCATACTCATTCTGCACAATCAAATGTAACCCATGCTCTAATGAATTCAGAAGTTGGACATCATGTGCTTCCTCCATAATACATATTCTGACATTGTTTATGCAAATTATTTATGTAATGCCAGAAAAAAATTGTGTATCCAACACACCCTCACAGCTTTCTGACACAATATCACTGCACATGTGCTGCTTCACAGACTGCCCAGGAACCTCCCTCTACAGCCAACGATAAGGGCAGTGAGTTGTTTGGGGAGGAAAACCTTTTCCTCATGAGCCAAAGTCAGGGATTGCTTTTGTGTAAAAGAGGAACCAGACCCGGCTGGACCAGAACTGTGTGTCCAGATGTCACACAGCACCTTCTCAAGGCAAACGGGAGGCGACCAAAACCAGCTGAAGACTTGCCCCAAACGACTTGCCGGACAAACCAACAAAGGCCTTGGTTTCCTTATCATCCCTTGGCTCTGTGTGAGCAAGAACCTACTTGTGCAGGAATTGCCTTGTGTGAGCTGAGCTCAGCTGACCTGCTGGAAACCAAAAAGAGCTGAAAACGGTTCTTCCCTTTCCTAATTCCTCACCTGCAAATGGATTCACTGGGAAGGGCAGGAACACCCAGCACTGCTCACACTGTGAGCTAAACACAAACTACACCTAATTATAAGGAGTTTGCAGCTATTTCCACAGCATGATCGAATAGTCATCCAGTAAGCACTCGAACGACAAATTGAAGCCTGTTTGATGTGTACCATGCTCCAGGAAGACCGGAACAGGAATTCCAGCATCCCTCCACCCCTTTCTGAGGGGCCAGGCCTGGAGACCTCAGAGCAGCTCCCTGAATAAACGTTCTTCAGCCAAAGCTTCTGTCGTTACCTCGTGTAGCGACCAGACCCGCTTTTAGAAGGAAACTCTCGCTTTTTGTTTGCCAGTTTTTAAAAAGAACACCTCCCCCCGCCCCGTTCTGGGCCGTTTCTGGTTCGAAACGCTCGGGGCCGCACACCCGGCCCGGTCCCAGCCCCGCCGGGAGCCCCGCGCTGCCCGAGATGCCGAGGAGGGGCGCAACAGCCCCGGGGACCGAACCGCAGGGCCGGACCCTCTCGCAAACTCAGAGGCTCCGGGCGGTCGGAACGAGACGCGTGCTCGGGGGGAGCGAGGGGCACCCGGGAGAAGCCGGGCCCGAGAGGAGCCAGCCCCGAGACGCCGCCCGAGGGCCCCGCCCGCGCTCACCGCGGGACCGCGCACACCTCACCTGAGCGAGTAAGAGCATCGGCCAATCCAGCTGCGGGCACCGGGTGAACTGCGACAGCACCACAGCGCCGCCCGCCGCCCTCACGGGCCTCCGGGGCTCTCCTATGGGCGTCACAGCAGAGCACGCCGCAGCCGCTGCCCGCCAATGTACCGACCGCTGGGCGTACGCAAGGGCCGAACGACTCCCGCCCAGGCCGCGTCCGAAAAACCAGGGACCGCGCATGCGGCGGTCGCAGCAGGGCATGGACAGCCGCCCACGAGCGCTGCACGACCAATCAGCCGCCGACACGCCGCAGCGCCCGACGTCGCCAATGGGTCAGCGCGACACCCGCGACGCGCGCAAATTGAGCGAGGCGCACGTCCGGGGCGCAGGACGGGGCCGGGCGCGCAAGGCCGGGCCGAGGCGGGCGGAGACGGGGCGGGGCGGCGTGCGTGCCGGAAGTAGGGGAGGCGTCCACGGTCGGGGCGGAGGCCGGACAGGGGCCGATATTAAGCTGAAGAGCAGGAAGGACTGGAGCAAGGAGAGTTTGGGAGCAGGGGCTGACGGCGGAGAGGCTGACGGGGCAGGTGCAACGAGGCCAAAGAGCGGGCAAGGGTCGCCGAGAGACAGTCCCGGTTCCGGGCCGTGCGGTGCGGTCCAGGCGGGCGGGGCGGCGGTCCGGGCTGTCGGTGCGGGGCGTCTAGGGCTGTCGGGGCGGGGCGGTGCGATTGCGGCCTCGGTTCCGAGCCGTGCGGGGCGGTCCCGGCCGCGCCCCCTGTCCCCGGTGCCTCGCGCGCTCCCTTCCGGCGCGGGCGGGGTTCCCGCAGCATCCCCCGCGACAATCGCGACAATAAACCCACCGCCGGTGGAGAACTAGACAGGCAAAATTCAAAGAATCCATATATTTAATCCTGAATGCCACTATTGTGCAGATAAAAAGGAACCATCTCAAGGGAGTATGCTGTGCCTGAAAGTTTGTATTGACACAGTCTGAGTATGGTCACAGACGAAAAACTCATTCACAATAGCATGTGGTGACCCATGTGCTTTCAGCGATCCCAGACAAACACATCCCCACGCGGCAAAACCCGTGGATAACCCCCCGCAGCAGGACCAAAGTACTACGTTAAAAATATCAAAAATAATTTCTGCAACAGATTTATTTGAATATCAAATAAAATAGCACTGAAATAGTGGCTCAGGAATTCAATGGGTCCTGGATTCATCATATAGTTTTATAAAGACATAAATAAATATATCTCAAAAACTCTGGAAACTATAAATTTGCTGCTAACACAGAAATTACTCATCTGGGGGGGGGCGGAACACTCTCAGTGGGTTTGAGATAGGTGTCCCCATGTCCCTGTTACAAATGTGTAAGTCAGAGGAAGATACATCTGGTTCTATCTGAAACACGTTCTTGGGAGCGTTTTCCAAGTGACCTTCAAGGTGTGTTGGTGATCTTGGTTTGTCAGGGCAAAATGGTTGTGGGGAGGAAGGAAAAGCAGCAAATTGCTACCGAAGTTTGGCTTTGCATGGACTATCAAATTCTCTCGGAAAATGGTTTTGCCTTAGTTTCGCCCGGAACAAAGCCACAGTGTCAGCAATGTCAGCGGCTCTCACCTCCTCAGCTCAGTGTGACGGGACCACCGAGGGAGAGGTTTGGTCCTTCCCTGGAGCCAAACCAGCGCACAGCAGGAGACTGTCCCTTGTGTTCCTCCTTCCCTGGGGAGGAGGGAGAAGCGGGGGGTCAGTGCGCAGGCTCGGCCCGGCTCTGCTCGGCACGACTCGCCTAGAGTACACCCGGAACACGCCTAGATCACACCTGGAACACACCTGGAACACACCTGGAACACACCGGGAACGCACCGGGAACACACCTGGATCACGGCTGGAACGCCCCCAGAACTCCCCGCTAGGTGGCGCTCCAGGCTCGGCCACGGCGGCGCTCCCGGGCCGGGAGTGGGCGGGGCCTGTCTCAATGGGCGGGGCCATTTTAGGGGTGGTTCTGTGGGCGGGGCCATGGCGGTGGGCGGGGCCATGGCGGTGGCGGGCCCCGTGTGCGTTGTGGGCCCCGCGGGACCGGGACAACGGGGAAACGGGGGCCGGTCCGGGAGCCTCCGCAAACGCGGGCATTTGCGCGCGCTCCTCACTTGGACATCCCCCCTGAGCCCGCCGCCCCCGCACTGGTTCGCCCGGCACGGCCCTGAGGCCCCGCACTCACGTCCCCCGCGGGTGCCCGCAGCCCGCGGCCGCCCCAGCCCCGCTCCCCCGGCCCCCCCCGCCGTGCCCGCCCGAGCCCCGAGGCCCCGCGGGAGCAGCAACTGGGGCCGCTCCTCGCTGGGCTCTCGCCGGCCTGGGAAAGTGTCAGTGGGTGGCGGAGCTGGAACAGCCACTCCCACGGCTCCCGTCCAAGGCCGTAAATGCGAAGGTGGGGAGATGACAGGGACTGAGGAGCATGAGGAGGACGGGACACCGTGGTTACCCCACCTGGTCCCCCGTCACCCAGCCCAGCCAGGTGACACAGATCAGCCCTGGCGCTGTTCCAGTGCCAGGACTCACAGCTGACAAGCCCGAACTGATTCCCTGGCAGGCCCACTTTCCCCGTGGTGCTCCACACAGGACTAGAGCAGATGGAAAACAAGTATTTGTACAGTCTAGAACACAGATCTTTAATGCTTTTAATAAAGAAAAAAATCTTCTAATTCTCCACTTGAGCCCACTCCCCTCTCAGATTTCCTTGGTTTGTGTTGCCCCTGGCCATACACCCCATGGAGTTCCAGCTATCTGTCCTGCAGCCTCAGGACCTTGGAATAGCTTCCCTCTTTTAGAAATTTCCTGAAGGAATAATCGAGTTCTGTTCCTGGGAGCTTCTGACACTTGGCAGGATACCTTGGAAGGATAGCATTCCTCTTCCCTTGATGAATCTTTCGAACGCTTACACAAGAGATCATTAATACACGATCTGTACCAAATTCATCAAAACAGGAGGCTGTGATTACCTAGGAAATGTCAGACAACTATGGAGAACTTCTGGAAAGCTACTAGACAGCAACCTCTCTGCCATTTTTATTGGAACACAAGGACATGTGCTGCTTTGTAAGATACAAAGTCACCTCTCCCTGTCCCTGCTCAGACTGACAGCCCACATCTTGCCAGCAGAACTGCTCCAGCATGGACTCCCTCTGCCATGCAGGACAGAGACCATGTCTTCTGCTCTGTCACTGTTCCCTTCCACGGGCCTTTGTGTGCTCTGGCTCTACCTCCTTTCTTTCCTTTGCAGAGCCCCAGAGTGGGTGCTCTGACCTAAAAATTTGCTCTGGAAAATTTTCCGTGTGGCCAGGGAAGGTATTTCGCTCATGTTGTCCCACCGGTGCCAATCTCCAGGTGTCGTCTCCGCGGCTCTCGGTGGGGCAAAGAGCAACGTGCAGATAAAGGGGGATTGAGCAACCCAGCGCTGCAAAGGCCAAGCCTGCTGGGTCAGAGGTGAGCAGAAAATCAGCAGAAGACCAACAAAAACCTGAGCATCACCATGTCACATGGGAATAGGGTGAGGGAGCATTCAGGGGGGAGGGTTCTGGTCTGTAACAAAAGAAGCGAAGGAGTTCAGGAGACAGGGCCTGGGACTGCCTGGGGAGCTTTGGGCCCCGGCACTGCCAGGCAGAGCATCCAGCAGCGGGTTCAGGAGGCGGAAAGCGTGTTGCAATCGTTTTTGATGCTAAAATGAAGCAAAGTGTCGAGACTGGTCTGAGAGCTGGGGCAGACGGAAGGAGAGCCAACCTCTCTTGGAGTTGAGACATTGTCCCCCTGTGACATTTTGTAAGTGCTGGTGTTTTACAGCAAGTAGAGAGCAATAGATTCAAACCTGGCCTCTGCCAGGTACAACTTGTGAGTTGTTGGTGCATGGTGTGCAGCTGAATGAAGAGGGACCTGGGGCTAGGAAAGGAAAAGAGAGCACTTGCCATGCTCAGAAATAAATTTCAAATTTACTTCTCTATTTTGCAGCCTTTATTGCAACACTACTTAAGTCAGTCTTTTAGGCAAGGTCCCCTCCTACCCCCCAGAGACCTCCCCACACCACCTCTGTGCTCCCTTCCCACACCACCCTGTTTGCAGAGACATTGTGTCTGGAACCCCTCACTTCTTCTCCAGCTCCCCTCCAACACACTGCCCACAGCACCCCAGGCATTGCTGCAACTCTCAACTTCTGGCATCACCTTCCTTTCCCTGTGCCCCAGCTCTGCCCCTCTTGTGCTGTTCCAGGCTACTGCAAGGGATAATAATAATAATAATAATAATAATAATAATAATAATAATAAATTGGACAGAACTGCACCAAGAAGCATCAGAAGTTTCAGCCAGCCTCTTTCTACAGCATGACCCTCAGTCCATAGACCTTCTGACAAACACTTCAGTGTCTGAGCCATCACCACTAAACTAACAGCATCCCCCCAAAACTGGTGTCATTCCAGGGACAGCTGCTGCAGACCTGAAGTGCATGAAGTAGAAAGCTTGCAAGAAATCCTGGAAAAGAAGACAATTTCCAGGAAGAAAATGCCTCTGCAATGCTTTATTGTAGGTCCGAGCCTGGAGCTGGAAAGCTGTGGCTTCTACAGTACAAAAGGCAAACTGGAGAGCAGAATTTAATTCATGACAGAGATGAGCAGTGAGGATTACATTCTTCCCTCCACCTTTTCACCACACTGGTCTCCTCCTGTTTCTCTCCTCATTTCTGTATTGTTTCACCCATGAATGTAGAGGAATCTGGATGCTATTGCATCAGATTTTTTTTTTTCCTCGAAAATGTTATGTTCTTACTGAGTAATTTGTGAGTTATGCTGTCTCCTTCCTCAACTGAATAGTTCTGAAAAAAAATTCATGAAATCAGTAGTAGGAAGGAGCTTTTCACAGAAGTGCTGCTTTTCAGTCGAAAATGGCTCTTCTGGGAGACAAGCTGCGGAAGGGCTGCTGCCAGTGCCTGGATCCTTTCGCCAGGAATGTCTGCATCTCTTTTCCTATCTAAAACATCTCTGAGGAGGTTTTCCAGGACAATTATTAGCAGCCTCTGCATATCTGGCCAGGCCAAGCCAGGCACTTGCAGGGACAGAGCTTGGTGTGCCCATACCTCCTCTCAATCCTGTGGTGCGAGCCTTGCTCTGCACCTGTTCCCATCTCAAAACCCCCACTTCTGGCCATGCATTTGTTATGACAAGTGCAGAAACAATTTAAAAGAGACCAGAGTTAGCTCAAAACCTGCCTGCCGAATGCTGGGGTTTTGGATAAGTGGTTAGTCCCGCCAACAAGGTTCCCATGAGAAGCTGAGAATGGATGTTGGCTACACGAGAGTGGATGCTGGGATTTGAGGTGAGCTGGAGGAAGTTTAAAGACATCCAGGTACAGCAGGGAGGTGAAGGGGAGAAGGGAAGGAGGGGACAAGCTGGGCATCCAACCTGAATTACCACCCAGCTGCCATGTGATCCCGGTGACTGCGGGATTACTCAGCACTGGCCGGGAAAGCAGGTGTGGGCCACACCATCCCTGATAGAATCTGTTTCACATGACAGTTGCACAGGCATTTTATTTTGTTGGGGAAGATCAGCCCAGGCGGGAATGCAACTTTCTGCTGCAGAGCAGCAGAGAATAGGGGAGAAATTCGAAGAGGGCAAATTTAGATCTCCAAAAATATCTTGAAAAACTGTTCAGGAATTTTACCAACCAGCTTTAGCGTTTGATTTTAGCCAACGACTGGCCAAGAGAGACCAACCGTGCACGTAGCAGGAGACCTTCTGCCTGTGGGTCCCTGAGACAGTTGGGAGGTAGGAAGCACATGAGACTGATTTTAAGAGTTCGGTTGGAAGGGCCAGTTAGGGCAGCCGCTGGATGTAACTGCCAGATCAGAATGCAGGATAAAGGTGCAGGATGAGGGAGTAAACAGCCAGAAGAACAAGCCCTGGCTCACTGCAACTTGCCAGTATTTGCACCCAATACAGATGTTTGTATTTATGAAGGTATGGGCTCCAACTACAACCTCCAGACCCAGCTCTCTGGCCAGGCCCAGCTCCAATTTAATCTCTGGTGCATTCACCAAAGATTAACTTGATAGATAAAGATGGAACTAGAAATATTTGAGGCCTGAAAACCTGTTAGGGGGCTTTTGTTATGGAAAAAAAATCCTATTAAAACATGAACAGAAAAAGCAAATAAAAAAAAAAGTCCGATGATCCGCTGAGTGATTCTTGAATTCTTCCTCTTTTCAGAGTTCTGAGGTTTGAACATTAAGAACAGTTGACTGTTTGAATCATATAATGCAATACCTGTTCCTCTGGCTTAACGTTACAATATTTCCCACACCGCAGGATTGCTTCACATTATTCTAAGAGGCAGTGTCATTTTCCCTGCAGTGCTGGGTCTTCTTTACTGAGGCGAGGACACTCCTACTTCCTTTAATTATATGTTTTGTTTTAAATTAATGTCCTTTATTCTGGGGATGAATCACCAGCTTGTAGACAGGTAAATGTGGGAGTAAGAGAGTGAAAATATAAGTTTGATTCCCAAGGTGGGTGTCTTTAATTAAAACGGACATCAAGATTCAGTCTTTCTTCCCAAACTTACCCCACAGATTGAAAAACTCTGGGCTCCACGTTCCCCTGCACGTCTCTCACTTTCCTCCTGAGCCACGTCCCGCCCGGTGGGTCCCCTTTGGTTTCATGTGTGGATCCCCTATCCCGTCTGTACCCTCACAGTTGCACCATATCCTGCAAAGTAAATACACCAAGGCAAACTTTCAGG